TTACGTTTAACATCATAGTTTTCGGTTTTTCTCAACATCATAAGATCTAGGAACAAGTAACCTGCACCTGTCAATAACGATCCAGTCCAAATCAGATGATTTGCAGACAATGTATGGGTCTGAAGATCGATGAAGATGGCTATAAATATCACAACACTGCTAATGTGTTGAGTGATTCCTCCAGATGCATGAACCATTGTCCAATAATCGTATGTTCTCATGTTGACTTTATTATTTGTATTATTTTATATATTATAAACACACGCATATGCATATTATTATTTTGTAAAACATATCAAAAGCAATGATGAATCAATACCGTAAGAAAAAAAAAGAACAAACAATGAATTCAATTCATACCATTCCTTTGCAATTCGTCCAGAAATGTACTATCCACGTAGTTATCTGGGTAATCCTGTTTGACCCACAAAAGTTTCCGCCATGGTGGGTTGTTTGGATTGTGATGATTTATCGTACTTTGGAACTGTTGAGATGGAGTGGCGTACATGAACCTTGCTCTTCTATCTCTCTATATCTATTTGTGTGTGTGTGTATGTGTATGTATGTATATAAATAAATATTCCTTTTGATATGTGTGTGTGTGTGGTTTTGACCTGTCGAATTTTACATCCCCACACACAGACACGCACACAGACAGACTCGTTCTCTTGGTCTTTCTCTCTCTTCTGACCAACCACAGACAGGAGATCGCCAAGTACAACCACTAGCTACTCACGTGACATTTAAGCTTAGTTATATATAAAGGCTTCCAACTTCATGGTAGGATAATACATTTATTATCATTACTATCATCATATCTTTGTACATAAAACAAGGCAGCTTATTTAATAAATCTTCGAAATTAACAGGGGTTAATCTTTTAATTATACATAAATTAGGTAAAAATTATTACTGCGATTTATCTAAGAAAGAAAAGAAAAAAAATCTAGGCACCTTATTTTTGAATGAAACAAATTTTAAGAGACTTTGTGTTTATCATCAATTACAGCCACATACTCCTACTGCACAATTACCTTTTTTTTTCTACCATGTATTTAATTATATATATATATATATGTATGCGTATGTGTGTAATAGAACAGTAAAAGAAAAGACTATACAGGGTCAAATAAAGCTTAGGTTTTCCATGAGAAAAGCAACCTAATCTCATCAATACATGAGTAACCATTTGTGTGACCCCCATATCCTTCTCTTGTACATTTGAATAAATCAATTGAGCATTTTTGAATGCCACAGAAAAAAATTGCATATTACGGTACTATTTATATTCTAAATACATACATACATACATACATACATAAATGCACACATACTGAATATATAGATATATAGATATACCCAAATATAATGTGTTATTCATTTTCCTTTGAATTGAAAAAGGGATAAAAAGTTGGTGCATTGAGGGCATCGATTAAAACGCAAATTTATTTGAAATGACGCTATTTTGTGCGATATTTAACATACATATATATTCATGATCGCAGAAATACCTTGTTTACGACAAATATTCTTTTTGTAGATTCATAATTTACAGAAAATATGCAATAAATATCAGCATACTCTTTCTCTATTTCTCTCTCTTTTGATTTGTACTAAAAGCAAAGGTATCATTTTCGCTTTATTAGGTATGCAAATTAAAGTCGGTCTTTAGAGTATAATACACTAAAAAAGAACTGTGGTCTTATTGTTTCACAAATATCCTTTGTTTAATAAAGACTACCACACAAACATATGAAGTTGTCCAAGGTAGCTTGCTTTGTGTAGCTAGTCCCATAGACTATGATCAAGTTAACTTTAGAATTTAATCAATATTAGTCTAATTGAGTCGAAACTTTTATATGTATGCCTACATGTATGGTGTGTCTATATTACCAGTAAAACACCGCCTACAATAATAAATAATATGCGTGCTTGTTTTAATATTTATAAAGTAAATGATGTTGGCTGTGTGTTCCCACCAACCTCAAAGACTCTTTTTTTTTGTGTGCGTTTGAGTGTGCGTTTGAGTGTGTGTTTGTATGTATATATATATTAGTACCCCGAAATAGAGTGACCAAAATATGAACACAATAAAAGATTGTCATCCATTTGATCTTATATGTGAATCACATTCGAAAAGGTATTTTTCTCCACAGTTGGCTTCAAGGGTTGATTTGGGAGCAGACAATACATGTACAGTCTCTATGGTTTTGGAGCAGCTCAAGCGTAGAAAGTTGTTTAGACCAACAAAAACAAAAGAACAGAAACATTACTGGATAGTTAAATATTATTATTCACATTGTATGAGCTAAATAAACGGGGAATTTACAAGAAAATAAAATAAGATAGGTATATATATATATATATTATATAAAGGTAGAGTATCACGACAGTAAGTGCAATTCTCACAGGTAGTGCCAGGGATAATCAATTGGCTAAACTCTTCATTAATCACACATGGCCAAGATTTCTTTTTGTCTCTTTCCTTTCTTCTCTTTCCTTTATCGCCCCAAACCTCTCCCTTTTTCTATATATCCCTTTTCTTCTTTGAGCGGTGATCACTCTCATAAACACACTCTCTTTGATACTGCCCTAGTCCTCAACAATGGCATCATTCTTTCTGTGCAAACTTGCACTGTTTGCGTTTGTCCTACTGCAGATCCTTTCTTGTTCCGAAGCACAGTTCTCTCTACCCGGAATTGCTATAGATGATCCAACTTCTACCACATCCGCTGCTGCAACCACAACAGCCGTTGCGACCACAACCGCAGACCTACCTCCTTCCACCACTGCAGATCCACCTGCAAGTATCACTTCATCCGATATCACTATTCCCACCAGCCCATCGATACCTATTCCTACCGTCATTTCAACATCGGAAATTCCTTCCTCTCCTGCTGTACCTGTTTCTTCACTACCTTCAGTTGCACCTGTTCAACCATCCTCTACCACACCCAGTGCTACTCCAAGCTCAGTGGCACCGGTAGTTCCAACTTCAGCTCAAACTAGTAGCAAAGAAACATTAGCGCCTTCAAAGTCGGTAAGCACCCCTTCTGGATCCAGTAATGTCAGTACCCCTACAAGCTCAACCAAGGCAGATGGTGAAAAGAAATCAAACACTCCAGCTATTATCGGAGGAGTTGTTGGTGGAGTTGGTAAGGTTACAAACATACATACTTTATGTTTGTGGGTGTGTGTGTACGTTAGGAATTAATTTTTTTTTAAAAAAAAAAAACTCTTACTGGATCGTATAAAATTATCTAAAACTTATTAATATCATTTTAGTTGGTCTTGCTCTCATTGGTGGTCTAATTACTTTCTTGAATCGCCGTGGAGGATGTACTAGTCGCAGTGAGAAGCCCAAGAGTGACTTTAAAGATTTTGAGATGACAGAGAATGATTTCCCTCAGCGTAGAGCACCAACAGGAGGACTACAGGGTATTGTTCCAATCTCTGGAAGTCCAACTGTTCCTCAGCTTAACAACCAAGGCAATTTCTACAATGATAATGGCTACGGTCAAAACTACTCCAATGTTCAGTCACAGTCTTCTGGGCAGGATGGATATTACTATGACAACTATTCACAGGGACAAGGCTATTATACTGATGGAAGATACTACTATGAGAATGGTGGTAATGCACCCGTTACTGGATACGTACCACAGCAAAATTATCAGCAGTATCAGACAAGTCCACCTGTTCAGCCAATGGTGGCAGAGTATAGTAAGCCTGACTTGGCAGACTCGAAACCCCATGAAAAAGTTTAATAAGGAAGAAAGAATAAGGTTCCATTTTATACTCTTTGTATTTTATTCTATCTCTCTCTCTCTCTCTTCTTTTCTTCGTTAATTTTCTCCTTCTTTACACACTTATAAATCTACAATTACTCGTAATTTCACAAACATTATTATTTCCTTACCTATTCACTTTATCTCCATGGTAGCTATTGGTTCTTTTATCAAGACTTTTATATGTTCTTGTTAATCTAGTAATCATCTTCTTTTTATATGCTGCTTTTAATTAACTAGTAATAATTATTTTATTATTTTATTCTTTTTCTTTAACCAAAAAAGAAAAGCTGCTAATAAGAATCCAAATTTTATATACATATTTTTTATTTAAATATAATATATTTACTTTTAAATACTTTTGGACAGTGAATCTGTAGAGCTGTGTAACAAGAAGATTTTTTTTCTTTAAATAAATAAATAAATAATTATATAAATAATTATAAAAATGATTATAAAAAAACCCTTCTGGCTGCTGGACTTTATCATCCCAAGAGCAAAGCTACACCGAGCATACATATGTATGCCTCATCAGAGAACAAACTGGAAAAGCATTGCTTTGCTTTATTTCCATTTCTCTTTTTATCTTTACTCTTTTTTTTTTATCCCTTGCCCTGAATTTTTTTTTGTATTGGAATTTACAAGTCAATTATAGTGTGCATTTATCAATTATATTAATAATAATAATTTTAGAAATATTAATTAATTATATACATATATATATATCTGTGTGTTTCTACCCCAAAATATATACATACGATTATAGCTATGTGCACTATGCTAATATATATTTATATATATTCACGGCGCTTCTTAGACTAGCCTATTAACTCTTTATAATTATCTTTCTCCCCGGTTTTTTCTTTCTTAAACATAGAAAGCCAAATCGCTTAGTACTTTTTATTGAATTTAATTAGTAAAAACTAAATCAAACTAATAGTAATAATCGAAATAATTTTTATGCTTTTATCTTTGCAAAATAATGCATTATACTCTATATACAAAAACTCTCTTATTAAAGTTTTAATATGTATAGGGAAGATAAAGTATTATGTATGTAAAAATATTTTAACTATAGATATTGAGCGGATGCTAAAGTAAAGATCGAGAACTTTAAATATCCATATATTTTGCAGTATACATATACAGCCATATAAGAAACCATAATATATTTGGATATTTAATATCCTCCCAGAATTTTATTTCTTTGCATATCTATCAAAGGAGGAAAAAAAGTCTGTAGAATAAAAGAAGCTTTGTAGTTATTCAGTATGCTGAAATAGAATCGTACGAATTCTAAATTACTGAGAATATAGACTAAGCTTTTTAATTTATTTTTTGCTACGTCCAACTGATCTTACTTGCACTAAATTCTTTTTTTTAAAAAAAAGAAAGCTAGAAATACAAATCAACTTTCGCTGATATACACTGAAAGTGCTGCTGTTATTGTCGTTGTTGTCTAGGTGTAAATATCTTTGACTCTATGATATCATGAAAGTGTCTTTGTATCTTTTTGTGTGAGTGTGTGTATGATTCGATTATGATCCCACTAACACAGGATACTTCAGGTTTGACACACTGTAACCTGGTGCAACATTTCGCTTTCTGAAATTACTAAATCTCTATCAATATTTTTTTGACAGGTAAGTTTGTTCACTCTCTTTCTTGGCAAGATCTCAAATATTGGGCTTTACTAAAATAAAATTATAAGGCACCAGTATTATGCTCCGTCTCTCTAGTATATAAGTCTCTTGTGCCCTTTGCGTTACATTCGTATTTATTTTCTCAAAGTGTAACTTTGGTGGTTGTACCTTTACTTTCTAGGCCTGTAGCAATTGACAAAATATATATAAAAAAAAATTATATCTTGTAGTAAATACAAACCTTATTGAGAATTTTACGTACCCACACAAAGAAAAAGAGTGAACAAATTATTTAATAAATACACTTACACTTTCCCTCTCTTTATTTGTTTCTTTATCTTTAGTAGGTCATAGTATAACCATTGACTAGCAAGATATATCTTCTTTCTTGTTGAACTGAGCACAACAAATATCATCATACTTTTACATTTTATGAACACCGATATTTCGGGAACAGGTTGACTTCAAAGAATTCCCATTATTTTCTTTTTCTTTTTCTTTTTTATTCTTCCTATTATATTTTTACTATACATTATCTTGTGCCATTACAGCATCTTCTCTTTCGTTATCCGCTGAGGTGTCAATCGTCTCCTTATTGGACCCCTTTACCTACCGATGAG